ATATGTTTCATATTGTATTAAATACCTTTTTTTTATTTTTTACTTTTTTTATCTTTGTTATTAAAGTTTAATATTGAAGATCCAAGCACTAAAGTTTTTTTGTGACCAAAGTTGTGAAATTTTTAATAAAATAAATAACACATTAACTCAGAGAATTTAATTTTCTAATGGAAATATTTTCCATTAAAAATTCAATATACTGAGTGATGAGTTAATGTATTATTTTTTCGTCAAAAAATTGAATTTCGTCAAAAATATTATTAATAGAAATGCTAATGCAGTAGAAAATTAATTATATATTTAATCTAATTGAAAATTTACTTCATCTCTTTGTGAAAAATCATAATTCCCCATCACGGAATGTTTTTGGGTGAGATTATGCATTAGAAAATTAATTGGATTTTTTTAATTCTGGTTACGACAAATCATTTAATATTTATTGTATAAAATTTATTAGTCAAGTCACTAAAAATTTTTCGAAATCAGTTTCTTAGTCAATATATTTTTCTTGATAATTTTAAATACTGAAAATTATTCGAGTGACTATACCGCACTAGTTTAATCCTTCGTTTTTATCGTAAGCCTAGTTAACAATAAAAAAAAATAATAATGAAAATGAATATTACCTCCGAAAAGGTTTATGTTCTTGTTTGCTCTTAATTTTTTTCAATATTTTTACGTCTTATCATTTTCAAGAAACAACAAAAATTACATTGTTCAGATCAGTAGGGAAATTTCATTAAAAGTTATTATTAACATAATATTTTGTCTACTTCACCAAAAAAAAAAATATATGAAAAAGTTAAATGAACAGAAAAATATGACATCAAATTCAGTCATCTTTTTTCATCTTTTATCAACGACAACAATAAATCATGACCGTATAAAAATACACGGCATCTCTTGGTCATCTCCTCGCTTGAATCCATCATACCCTATCCCAGACCGGAGAGTAGTGTGTACAGTAGCCGTTTCGTGGATAAACGAATCATATAGGACAAACCCCGTCATTGATTGACACGCTGACATGGATAAACGACATCAGATAGACGGCCCGAAAGTGCAATAAAAAATAAAAAAAAATGTTACTGTCGAAAATGAAAATAAAAACAAAAATTATAAAATCACTCACGCAGAAAGCCAAACAATTTATACTCTCTATATTATATATAAATATAGTGTGCCTATTATATGTATTCCTGGTTTACCGAGAACGACGTATATTGAGAATAAAAAATACATGCGGATGTGGAAGTTTGTGTGATAGAAAAAAACGTTATATATCCCGCACATTCGCTGTGAAAAAGTAGCCGTACAAAAGAGAATAAGAGCTACTTGGAGTGGTTGCTGCACCGGCTTCCAAATCCTGGACCACTACATTTCTTTAGCTCCCTTTTTTTACTTTATCTCGGTCTCTCTCTTCGGCATTCAGTGTTTTAGCGTGTTATTTACCGTCGAAGCGAGATTTATCTGGCTTCTGGCGGCGTCACACCAGCCGCACCCCGTTCTCGCAGACTCGATCCGCCCTATCCTACTGCCACTGCAGAGAGTGCTCCAACCATTCAACCTCTATATCCCGGTTGATCCAATATTTTTCCTGCTACGATCCTCTGCTACTCCTATTCTCCCACTATTTTTGTTATCACTGATCCTTTCAGAACATTCTCTGTTCTATTGTTTTTTGTGTTGTTTAACTGAAATTATTCAATAGACGGATACTTTATTACTGTAGACACGACCTTTTGTTATAAAAGAAAATTGAAAGCTCCAAGTTAAGACAATGAAGAAAAAAACTAATAAAGAAATTTATTTTTCATCTTAAAATGAAAAAACAGCTGTAATATGTCAACCCGTGAAAAAAATTTTTGATGGGCTCACTTTTCAAATCAGGCCATAAAAGAATAAAAAATAAACTTTTATAATAATTTTTTATGTAATATTTAGAAAATAGTGCTTCGATTTACATTTCATATTAAATAAAAATTTGGAAAACCCAAAAGAAGACAACTCATTATGCTAATTTAATTTTTTGAGAAAAAAAAACAAATTCTTGGTCCAAGAACACACGCAATCTATTGATTGTTTAAATTTTTGCGCTAAATAAATTTATACATACATTATGTGTATGTACGAGAAAAAAAATTAATGAATTAAAATAAAGCAAAATAAATAATGAAATAACCGTAAATAAAAATACTGGTGTAAAATTTGTATTTAAATACTCAACACAATTTTTCTTAGATAAGTATAATTTTGATCAAAAAATTATCTATGAATTAAGACCATACCAGTCAATTTTTTCACGGAAAATCATCCAACGAAATCCTAATGCCATCAATGTAATAAATCAAAGACTTTCAAATAAATTATAACAAGTCTTCATAACGCAAAGAATCATTTTCTCAAGCACGTTAATCTACCAGAAAAAAAAAAACAAACCCCTGGAGATATTTTTGTACAATAGTAACGTAACAAAGTTGCTATCTCCGAGGAGTTAAAGTTCTTACAGGATCGAGTACAACACATGCAATAGCAACAGCAACAGCAGCAGTTGCCGCGTAGTACCAGTAGTAGTTACTATACGGGATACAGTATGATGCCCGAGCGCATCGTCAACGTAGATGTGTGTCCCTCAGAGGTCGAATGCCAATCCCACTCATGTCTCCGGAGGTTTTATACCTCCCTCCAGCATATCGTTCTCTAGAGTACTTTCCTGTTTGGATTACGATAACCAAAAGTGCTTTTTTTCTATCTCTTAACCCATCTATCACTATACAACTTTATATACGGTGTAAATGTGGAATACCATCAGAAATATATAAAAAATAAATTATCTTAAATGCATCAACAGGTATATATCGCTTTTATTATTATGACAGCCATTTCTGGAATATATACCCGCGAAAAATAAAAATCTGCATGAGCATACAATAGTTGCTGTATACCATATATCATACAATGTGCAACAAGCCTCTGTACTAGTACCGGGACTGTTACTAGAGCAGCTTTCTTGGAAATTTTATTCTTACTTTGTAGATCTAGACCACAGCATCTTAATCCGTTGTGTTCCTTTAGAAGCTCTGAGGTATACACACAAAAACTTACTTTACCGTTTCTTTTCCCGTTTCCACTTGTTTTCTTATTTGCGTCCGTATTCGTTTGACTACATCTTTTATTTATTTAAACTTTAAGAAAGTAAAAATAATACTTTCATGGTTGACAGATGAAAAATAACATGGTAATATAATGAGACGTTATTATACTATCTACGAGACACCTTTGGTTGAAGAAAGTCATCTGCATCTTTCAAATTATGGATCATATTTTTTACAAGCATTGTTTTTCATTGTTATACACTGCTTTTATGATTTTTTTTTATAAAAAATTTTTTTTTATCGTAGTGATCTAGAATTTCTTAAACATGATTCTTATTTTCAGTTTGAAAAAGAATTAAATTTTCAGTCATAAAAAAAAAATTTAGTTTTTTAATAAAAGTTTTACTTGTAAAAAATACTAAAAGGTTAAAAATTTATTAAGTCATGATAAGAATAACGCAAAACCATTTCCACCCGACGGTTAAATAAAAGAATACGAATAAAAATAATTTTAGTGAAAGGAAGTGTTGCGCCCCAGTTGTTTCGAAATTTTAAAATTAAATTATATTTTAAAATAAGCATCAATTTCTTTAGAAGCAGAATAAGAAAAAAAAAATAAATTACATATTGTAAAATTATTTTTATTTCACAGTGGTTATTCTATTTAAACTTTATTTCAATGGTAAGTGAATAGACAGTAGCTTTGTTCTCACAAAATTGTCAATTTCGCCTCGAATTAATACATCTTTTGTTATATTTTCATTTTATTCATCATATTTAATACTCTGCTGTATCCATTAAATTTAATTTAAATAAATTTACTTGAGATAAATTTAATTTATGTACTTTAATAACGAATGAAAACAAAGGAAAATTAAAATTTCATTAATCACCGTAATGCTGTTATATTTGTACAAAATAAACGATGTGATTGTTTGTAAACGATAACGACGATCGAGTGGTTAAATTGAAAAAGTATCAAGTAAAAAATAATGGATTTTTCTGATAAATTCAATACGAACGTTCATTAATTTATTTTCATTTTTATTTGTTTCATTGATTCATTTAAACGACTCAATAAATTTTTTGAAGCAAAATGAATAGGTGTAAATAATTTTTCTGCCCTCCGGCCGGAAAGTGGCAACTTTCTGGTCGCTGCGCTAAACAAAGTTGCCACATTCCGGCTACGTCGAGCAGAAAAATAGTATACACACCTTGGCCAGTAAAAAGTAAAGCCTCAGACCACATGTTTGTCAACCTCGGCTTCGCCTCGGCCAACAATTACATGTGGTCTGAGACTTTTCTTATTTTACTGGCCTAGGTATGTAATATACTATACTGCATAAACATAAAACAAATGAAACAAGTGTCACTTGAGTTTTCAATCAAATATCGTTATTATTATTTTTTCATTTAAACTCAACGCATTTATCAATTTTCCAATAATATTGACACGCTATTCGTACGAGAAATTTATTGCGTCGTTCGTTACCGATAATCTTTAATTTTTCTATTAACACTTTTTATTTTCAATTGTTATTTTATTTAAATTTTATTTTATAACATACTTCATATACATTAATGCACATTTACATGTATGGAAATAAATCTACTGCTATAAAGAGCTTGAAATAACCAAGTATCATACAAATTCGCTCACATCGCATTGAATCGAGTGTGCAGCTATGAAAAGGTCGACAAAAAATTCAAGTGAGTAATAACGTTTTTACTCACTACATTTGATGACTCTTTCATCAACATTTTATTCACTTTTGCACGTAAACAGACAATTTAATGTTCATGTATGAGATATAAAATGTCTGAAAACTGTGTTTAGCTATTTCATTAATTTATTGAATAATTTTTTCAAGATATTATTATTAACTTTTTTTTTTTCTGGCAGATATTGATGTAAAATTTAATTCCGTTGAAGAACATTTCGAGGACTTTGAAGATGATTCAAACAGCAGAGAAGTAAGAATTTAAATAATGATAAATTTATTTAAATTTATTAAACTTGTTTTTGCATTTAAATTAAGGGCGATGAAGCAGGAATGGTGGAAATAAAATTGTCGCGGTTAACCCAGAAAATAATCGGTTGTGAAATTGGGGTAAATGTGTCAGCTGAATATCCATGGAAGTTTGTTAAGAAAGAAATTATTGAAGACAATCTTGATCTACATCATGAGAACAGTGAGTTTTTTCCAATACGTCATAAAATATTCGAGTATCCGGATGATAATATTTTCATTGGTTATGCATCGAGTAATAAAACCGCTGACGATAATGAAAATCTTGGAACTAATGATGATAATGACAGTGATAGTGGAATATTTTTTATGTGTCTCTCGAAGTCAAGTCGAGATCTAGTCACACGTAAAATCAAAGCTAGAAGAATGAGAATTTATAATCTCATGAAAAAATCTTTCTACAAAGCAGCTGGTCGTTGGAAAACTTTGGGAAGTGACGCGGAAATTGATGAATCAGTAGTCAAAAATTCTCGACCTCTTTATGAAATAGAAGTGAATATAAAAATAATATTTTTCTATTCTTTATTCTTTAAAAAAAAAAGTAATTAATGAACGTGACGAAAATTTATTTAATATTAAAGATGAAAAAGCGAAAACGTGTGGACACTTTGATAAAATTGGTAAGCCGCAACGCTGAAGACCAGAGAGACGGTTACGTTGAGCTAGTGGGTACCAGGCAAAGCTTCAACAACGTCTCTCGAAGACTTGTTTCACGAGGTAACCAAGCTAATCCAACGACTAGTGACAACGAGGTACAGACGACAACCAAGACTCCTGTAGACTCGTGGTTTCAGTACTCCTATGACTACACGCCGATCAATACCACAGATTTTAATAAAGATCTGGAACAAGCTGCTCGGAAATTTCTTGACCGTTACAGAGAATTTACCTGCGAGCAAGTAAACCCTTTTATCTTCAAGCCCTCCCCATTGACATTATTAATCTCTATAGGTATTTTGGAATGCCTCTTGGGATCTGCACGCAGACGATTGCAAGAATTTAGTAGAGGATGAAAGAGATACCCGAGTTCCAGTACCGCTGGCTTTTACCGAGTATCAAAGTTACTGTGATGTTAAACTGACCGGAAACAAAGTTATCAGTGAACTTTGTTGGCATCCATTGATAAGTAACATCGCAGTAGCAGCTTATGCGACTTATTCTAAAAGTCAAAGCATTGTGGGACCAAAATATTACCAGGATAATGTATTTTTAATTATAACTTTAACTCTGATTTAAATTTCAAATTGATCGGCTAGTAGCGTATAAATTTTAAGTTAAAATGCTTTGAATATTAAAAAAAATTAGTAGTTTAAAAAACTAAAAAAAAGGCTTAGTAGAAAATTGAATTAAAAGGAGAAAATAATTTTTAATAAGTATTTCTAAAATAAGAATAGTGATTAACAACAAAAATAATTTTTAATATATATGAAAAAGCATCCCACACTTTTTTTACAATAAAAACAACTTTTTTGTTAATCACTCTATTCTTATTTAAAAATTATTTTATTTTAATTTACTGTTGAAATGTATTTTAGTTTTTTAAATTATAATTTATTAAAATTTTTTTATGTTGATAATCCTGGTCAGAACATTAGACATTAAAAGATTCCGTTACATAAATAAATACTCACAGGTCAAACTACTAAAATCTATTAAAAAATTATCTAACTTTGTTAATTCATCTCTAAAGATATTACGAGCTTGTCACGAGAATAACAAAATTCTCTTGTGGTCTTTGGATGACTGTCTTGTGCCAAAGTTTATTCTCAAGTGTCCTCGTGAAGTGACCGCTGTTAGCATTAGACCACTCGATGGAAATGTCATCATTGGAGGATGCTCCAATGGCCAGGTTTATTTAACTAAGTCGAATTAACGCTTTAAATAGTATAAATGAAAGTTACCAAGTTGTTTACATTTGTTTTATCTTAGGTAGCAGTTTGGTCAATTTCGGAGCAAATTGAATGCATAAAACTAAAGAAATTAAGTGATGACGATGCACAAACTAAGTGCAATACGTCGATGAAGAATCTGATGAACTGGATGAAAGAGACCACAAGTTCGAGGATGATTTATCCTACGGCAATGTCCTCGATTAGAAACGGGCAGACCGGAGCTATAACTCAGATAATCTGGCTGGCGAGTTACAGTAAGCTCAACGAGAATGGAAAGTTACTCGAGTTGGAGGAAAACTCGGACGTTGAGGAACTTGGTTGGCAGTTTGTGACATCCAGTGAGGACGGCACAGTCGCCTTCTGGGATCTGAGGTCGGCAATTCCATTTCCTCATATCCCCCAATTGATTCTTCCCTCTAAATCCCACAATCGCTTATTTTGTTTCTTATCTCATATTGATTTCTTCTTTTTTGCCTTACAACTTCTAGTTTCTCTCTTATTTTATTTTTGTATTATTTTTTTTCTCGTTACATTATTCTTTTTTTATTTATTCTTTTCAACTTGCCCCCATAAAATTTTATCTCAAACTGTAGTCAGCGGGTCGCTCGCATTACCTTTCTATTCATCTTTGAAGTGCAATTCTCAAGTATAATTGAGGTGTGATTTTAAAAAAGAAGCTACCTCATATATATATTATATATATATATATATTATATATTATTATATATT